CCCTCCCGACCCCCTGGCCTCTGACTCGCCTCCCCTGGCCTCCATTCCTGCACCGCTGCCCGCGCTGAGTCCTGGCCCCCACACTCCTGTCGCCTCTCTGTGCCCCCAAGACCCAGGCCACGCGGCCTTGGCCCAAAGGATACAATTCATGCAGTTGCATTTCCGGATGAGTACACAGGAACGTAATTTGCCCTGTGCCATCAGCAACAAGAAGAAGCGGCGAAACTCCCGTCGCGTTAGTGCCCACGTCTTCAGAGACACCTGCTGAGCCTCCGCCAGCCTGGTTTCCGGCCCCACTCTGCCCATCGACGATCCTGCTGCCATCAGACTCATCTTCCTGGCCCCCTGCAATACTCGCGTCATCTGCAGGGACCTGCATGGCTGTCCCGCCTCTTCGCCTTGTAACCCTCCTGGAACTCAACCACCACCACCTTTCAACTCAGGCTCCCGCCAGGGCAGGAGGTTGTGGCCCAAAGCTCCTCCGCGGCGCCACCCACAATGCTCTTCTTGAGGAACACAGCACCTGCGCAAACCGGCCCTCAGGCAGAGCCTTTCCCGCCAACCTGGTCTTTTGTTTAGCGTCTCTTCAGTTGCCAGGTAACGGCCTGCCGTCAGGGATCCCAGAACTCGAGCGACCTTAGCCCCCCCTCCACAGAGGAGTGCGCATGAGCCCGTGGAACCATAGGCCTCGGGTCCCTTCCAAGTGGCCCATCCCTAGTGCCACACAGTGACCTAGACTTCTGAAGACCTAGCTCCTCAAAGCAGGAGTCGGTCAGGCTCTCGGGAGCCCTGGCGGGAAAGGGCCCTGCCTGGGTCCCCGGGACACCACCGGAGCCCCCTATGCCCACAGATGGGGTCATCGCCCCGTGAGCACTGTGCGGGTGCAGCGCCCATCGCCGACTTGTGGTGGCGCAGGAGGTGGTTCCGGGCCTAGGCCGTTCCGCCGTCCTGTCCCCTACAGGCACGCGGACACGTGCACGCACGCACACCCTCGAGGTCCAGGCCTGGGGACACTGAGGGGATAGAGATCCCAGCCCGTGCCCGTCCTCGGGATTTGCCCGGGACACTTGCTCCCTCCGCCACATTCGC